GTTTACAGACCCCCGAAACGCCGGCTTCGTATGGATGAGAGGCTGGTTGGGTGAAAAATTTGTGCGTTTAGGCCAGGGTTCGACTTCGTGTGGACGGGGCCTGAATCCGACACGAATCAGATCTTTTCAAATGCAGGTCACATTCATCCTACCTGAACATCATTAATACTCAAATATGGTCCCTATTCTGTGTCGTTCTTTAAGCCTTCTTGAAAAGATTATGTTGTTAATGCACTCACTGAGGTTGGGAAACTAATGAAAGGTTGATAATTGCGCTCCAGCTCTACAATCCATTTTTACTTCCGTAAACAGGAAGCACACTTGCTTGTGACATCATTGCGCCCTCTACTGCGCATGCAGGACACTTCTGTTGTATGAATGTAGTTCACACAGGAGATCACGTACAAGTCGCATATATTTATAAATGTGGAAGATAGTGCAAAAGAATCGGATTTCACAAAAAAAAAGCAATGAACTGACAACCTCTCCAAGATGTCTCACACCTTCCACCCTAGGATTGTTGAGTTCGGGGCCACCTCTCACCTGTATGATCTGCTGAACTGTAAAGTGCCTTGAAATGAGTGTGAATTGGCGCTATAGAAATAAACTGAATTGAATAGAACCTCCCCCAGGTGGACAAGAGGTAGAAGATGGGGGAGGGTTTTGGAGAGAATTGAAGTAAAATGGTGGAATCTTAAAAAAGCGGTCACTGCAGGAAAACACGTCTAATGTGGCTGAATTAGAGCGGGCCAAAGCTTCCCCACTGATATAAGATTCATTATCAGTTAGCAGAAGAGTTAATGTTGCAGCCAAGGTTCTTTTAGGTTTAGAGATGAACTATTTTTCCACTAATGTGGATCTTAAAAAAATAAAAATAAAATTAAAACCAGGAAATTTGTAAGGGGACATTTACTTTTTCACAGTATGTATAGAAATTTGTTTTTTAGTTTTGACCATAACAGAAAAAAAATAATCCAAGAAGATAAATGTGTTTTTTCCCCCCCTAAAATTAAGGTTAAGAAATCCCAATAACCTTGAGGAGATCTTTAACAAAACGTTTAAACCAGAACCTTCTCAAATTCTAAGTCATTGCATTGACTGTTTTTTATTTATAGATACTAGGATGGGATGATACTTGTGTTTGATTTTTCTCTCTTTCCACTTCATAATTTGCTAACAAATACAGACAAGTTAAGCGAGAGAAAGAAACAGAGTAATTTGGTGTAAATGCAGAGCAGTGATGGAGGTCGACCTGATTTAAACAAGATGGTTTTTCCACAGGCGGCTGTCAGGATGGCCGGTAGTCATTTA